TCCTCTCTTTACGGTCTTTTTCGCAGTGTGCTCAAGGACAGGCATACATCTACGGGCTGAGCACTCGGAGCGAAGAGGAGTAAGAAAAAGCGAGAGAAGAAGCACTCTGGGTTGATGAGCCCGTTTTGCAATATAATAACCCATTGCGATCAACTTAGTGGATGCACCTCAGTGTTGATTAGAAGAATGAATTTGCTTTAAGTGCACATCTATTTTTGATACAAACAAGAAAGGCTTAAGTGCAGTCGTCTATTTTGTTATAAAATGAAGTTGAAATAATTTGCATTATTTGCGCGCGAGATGTAACATAGGCAATCTCTTCTACGGATAACGCTGGAAGTTGGCAGCTGATATACCTTCTGAACCCACAAACATTCATTCTCTCCCACTTCGTCGACAGTCTTAGCTGAAAAGTCGCATAATGTTTTCTTTGAGCTATACAAAAAAAAATGGGTTAGTTCCCTTCCCCCCCCCCCCCCCCCGACCCTTTTCATAGAACTAAAAACGCAAAAAAGACAGACAAAAAAAAAAAAATTTTGCGCATTTTCGCGTTAGTTTTCGGTGCTCGGTAGTCCGTGGGTTCTAGAGGGTTTTCCTTTTTATCTCTATTACTTATTCACAACTAACATGGTTCAGCCGAGATTGCGTTAATATGCTATAGTTTGAACTCCGAAGAAATTAAACTAGTGACTCCAAACCTACCCATACATTGTTGACGCAATAGTTGTGGTGGACGTCTTCAGAGTCCAGTACATCTACTGAAATGCAAGACATGTTTAGTATAGAAAGTGAAGTCACGGCACATGTAAACTGAGCTGGGTCCATGAAAGCCTTCATGTCTCCGACAAAATCGGCGACTTGCCCTTCACGAGGAGAGACACCATTCATAAGCAGAGTCGTCTTGCATTGGCATTGCTGTGCACTTAGAGAAATAACTCCGTTAGTTCTCTCCGGCGAGGGTCATGCGGCTCTCCGTTTATAGGCCATATATTCTGCGTTTACTGTCTGACATATCTTTCTTTTTTTTTCTTTTTTTTTTTTTGTGCGTTCATGCGAAATCCAAGAATCGATACGCTGTCTTTCTTCTTCTCTCTTTCTCTCGTTCTTTTCCTATTTTCCCATTTTCTTTTTCTTTCTTTCTCTCGCTCATGACTGAGGTCGTCTTTCCCACTCTTCTCCGCACTCTCTCGCTCTACGTGCGCTTATAAATCATGCACGGAGAGCGAAGTGATCGATGTGGTGTTGTTCTCTATCGAAAGCTTTATTTAATTATTCCCGAAACACAGAACTAATATCAATGTATCGCTCTTATATCATGGCGCCGGAAAAACCTTTCTACTGTAAATAAAGTTCTAGATTAAATCTCGCCAGCGTTTTCAGAATGGCAGCCAGCTATGAGGTATCGCACGCGCGCTAAAAATAAATAGTAGCTCTTCAGGTCGGCAGATTGTGTCGCCTCATTAGAATTTCTAGGAAAATCCAAGATTCTACGCAAGACTCCCGGTATAAAAAAATTTCTACGAAGTAGGCGAAGCATTGAAAGCTTGATCTTGGATGCGCGAAACATTACGTCGTTCATTCCATGAATTTTCTTTTCTAACATACACTTAAAAAAAAAAAAAAGTTTTGTACGTGTCATTTTAAGCATGCGTTTTTCAATTAATATGTTTGTGTAGAAATGTTGTACGCATTTTAATGTATAATTGCGAGAGCCCGTGGACACTGTTACGACGGCGGTCGAAATTAGGACGCTTTCGAAATTTCAGACGGAAAAAGTGATAGTAGCGTGCCCAGGTTATCAGTGTATCTATAGTATATGAACCTAAAAAGAAAAGTCAGAATGAGCAATTTGTTTTCTTTTTCTTTCTCTTTGTGTGTTGTGTTGAGGAAAAGGTCCAATAGAAGCAAGCACTGCTTACGTGCCTTCCTTAAGGCCGGTTCAGACACTTGCGTTTGAGTGCGTTTGACTGCGTTGCGTCGAGAACCGAAAGCGAGTCACCGACACATCTGTGCTTCGTATTAGGCGTGGAATCCAATTCAAGGAATCATCTTGGCACGCGATATAAGCAGCAGCGATGTCCTGGTTTGTCACAGCCGCAACGCAGTCAAACGCAGTCAAACGCAACTGTCTGAACCAGGCTTTACCGAAACAACCATCATCATGGCGTTTACGCGTACGGCATGCGAGTTGTGGAGACTCAAAGACGATCATAACGGTAGTGACCCTTACCTTCAAAGTTATATATTGCACGAAATGCATAATAGGGAATTGGCGAGGAAATTGGTGCGCCACGTGACCAATATTTTGCCTCTAAATTTAGCGGGAAAACTTAATCGTTTTATAGGTCAAGTGACGTCAATTTCCCCCGCTAAATTTAGCGGGGAAACTGGATTGGTGTCTAGGTCACAAAACGTGAATTTTCCCGCTAAATATAGCGGGTAACCGAATTGGTGTATAAGTCACGCGACATCAGTTTTTCGCTGAATTTAGCGGGTAAATCGAATTGATGTTTTGGCCCCAAGACGTTAATTTTCCCGCTACATTTAGCGTGGAAACTGAGTTGCCGTAATGTCACGTGCCGTCAATTTCTTCGTATTGGTCACGTGACGTCAGGTGACATTACGTGGCTCCACTTTCCCGCCAAATTTATCGGGGAAACTGAATTGGTGTATAGATAACGTGTCGTCAATTCTTCCGCTAAATTTAGCGGGAAAACCGAATTGGTCTGTGTGCCCCGTAACGTTAGGTCACGTGACATCAATTTTCCCACTAAATTTAGCTGAGAAACTGAATTCGTGGCGCGGCGGAGAAAAGCTCACCGGAAAAAAGATCACCGGAGTAAAGCTCACCGGAGAAAAGCTCACCGGAGAAAAGCTCATCGGAAAAAAGCTCACCGCAAAACCGGCAGATTCGGAGAAAAGCTCACCGGCCTTTGAGCGCATGCGGAGAAAAGCTCGCCGATTTTTTAAGTTTTAATTAGCTTAGCGGATTCTGCGTCACACGTGGCAATTTAAAACAATTCGGATTCGTCACTTCATTAAAAATATGTACTACCTTTGTAATATTCTTGAAGTTCATTGGCCATATTTACTAATTCCTCGGAAATTAGTAATCACCCATTTTGTATATTAGTGTGGACGCAAGTATAAAATCACAACATATATGACACCGGTAAAAAAAAAAAGACAACAATTCATTGACAGCTGACAGTGCGCCGTCGGTAGCTCTGTCAGATAAAAAGGTTTGTTCTTTACAAGCTAATATGAATAGCTCTCGGGAACCGCTTCAGCTCCAAAGATAGTGTAGTGCCTGATAGATAAGTAGGTGTTTGTCGATATAATCAGTGTCGGCTACGCTGTTTTCTTTCTGTTAATTTTACGAATAAAACTTTAGTTGTGAGAACAGCTTCGTCCTGTCGTGTTTGCATGTATTCACTCTGTCGTCATCGTTCGAGCGGTTTTCATCAGCGAGTTTTAGAATAGGGGGCCCCACAGCTTTGGGTGCCCCAAAGAGCTTGGGGCATCGCAATGGGCATGCGCAGAAGTTCTGCGCATGCGCACTGGGACGCCCCAAGCTGTTTGAGGCACCCAAAGCTGTGGGGCCCCCTATTCTAAAACTCGCTATTATGTATAACGTTCAACCAGATCGCCCAATTCGCTACCTTACAGAAGACTAGTTCTTATATAGGTCACGAGTAACAACGGTAACAGTGTGCAGCTCTGAAGGTTATGGGTGGCTCGCCGTAGAGGGGCACTATGACTATGACGGCGAGAAAACGTGCTTCCCCGTGGAAGAAAGAAACCTCGATATCCTATACTGACTGTTTTATCCTGTTTTCAAAGGTTAACAAAAGCTTCAAAGAGAATTTCAGGCACCGCGTTGTTGCGCATGCACTTTCGGATTTTCGACATTTATGGTTTTGATTTTTAGGTTTTAGGCAGACATAATTAAGTTTTCGAACTTTTTCTGCAGTTCTTCAAGTTCATAAAATCTTCAGTTAGGCTTTCGTTGCCTAGAGAGTAAACCACAGAAAACACTCGCCAGGATTATAAGTTTAGGAGAAATATACCCAATAAGCTTAAGAAATAATACAAAAAAGGACATTTTCTTTTTGACGTTGACGAATTTTAATGATAATTATTTGGTATGTTACGCATGATCCAACAGCCTCCATGTAAAAAGAAGAAAAAAATCGGTGAGCTTTTCTCCGCATACTCTCAATGGCCGGTGAGCTTGTCTCCGCATCCGCCGGTTTTGCGGTGAGCTTTTCTCCGGTGAGCTTATCTCCGGTGAGCTTTTCTCCGGAGAGCTTTTCTCCGGGATTCAAATTCGTGATGTCGATTTCCCCACTAAATTTTGCGCGAAATGCATGGACGGACGGACGGACAAAGTTTTGGGATTGGGCATATCGTTAAAAAAGCATTTTATGCTTTAAGACCCGTCCGTCCGTTCAAAGGCAACGGAACTGTTCTGAAGAGAGGGGAGAGGAGGGGGCAACATTTCTAAGATAACAAAGCCGTAGTGCTGATAGAGGTGTCGTCATCAGAGAAGGTCACCGCTGGGTACAGATCGGACACGACGATTGCGTCAACGTTCGGCTCAAACTTGACTTGAAGTCGAGCGCTGACCAGAACTCGTTTCCAATCCATGTCAAGCATTGGCCTTCTAGGCAGTGTTGGGGAGGGGGGGGGGGGGGAGGGGGGCACGGCAGTGGTGGTGGGGTGCCAGCGAGATTTTCCATCCGCTCCCCCATATTACTTACATCAAATTTCTGAAATGTCCGGAGGGGGAGCCGGTCGCCCCCCCCCCCCCCCCCCCCCTAGGCCCTCCCCCCCCCCCCCCCCCCTCCCCTGCTCCGACACCACTGCGTCCGTTGCGGGTGCACTTCAAAAAGCTTATCGCTCGACTATCCCGAAGCAATCGGTCTTCCGAAGTCGAACGCGCGAAATGACCCTCTGCCCGCAAGGCACGAGTCGATAAGCGCACACACGCTTCCGCTCGGCGACGTGACTTAGATAGCCTACCTCCCCGTCGTGGCGAGGACTCCGACGATTGCTGCGGGCTTGGATCTCCGCTCGACTCACGTAGCAGAAAGGAAGTCCGGGTTCACACGCACTGGGGGTTCCGACCCCAGGACACTCTTGGCCGTGTTGGACAAGTGGAGAGGTCGCGACTGACGCACGCAGTCTGTCCTCCCGTGGCCTCCTCGCGTGCAGCTCCGACCAGCGGCGACGTGACCGATAGCCGGGGCGCGGACACGTACGTGTATCTGGATCGCACGCACGCACGCCCGCCGGGTATACATACACAGAAGCGCCGGTCGAAACCTTCGCGCGGACACCCACCCGCCCGGCGTGTGGGTCGGCGCTATTTGGGACACGCGGGGCACGGACGCGGTGAAATTCGCTCGTTCCTCGGTGAGTGATATGCTCCCCGCCGCCAAGGGGGTATGCCGGAGAAGAAAGCGGGTTCTTTGTTTCCGATATAGCACCGGTGAAGCTTCGAGAGTTCATAGTTTATGTAGGGACCATCCCATGATCAGCTATGCTGCGAATTTTTTTTTTCCTCGAAAATCTTTTTGCACGATGAGTTATAAAAGTTGTAGGAAAAGTTGAGCTGGGTGTGACCTCCCCTCGAGTTTTCCCGTAAATCTTCGCAATATTTGAGCTTGCTTTAAATGTTCATAAGCTACCATAAATTGTGGTATCTTGGCAATGCCCTGACAACGTCCTTCCCGGTATTGATTACCCAATGCGTGCAAAAGGCATCAGTCGGAAAGGAAGCCGAGAGTTTGAGAATGTTCGTTAAGCTCCTCCCCCGCTAAAAACGGCATCGTGATTTTTTTTTTTTTTTTTTTTTTTTTTTGCCACTGAAGTTTTGCAGATTTTACGCAATTTGCGACAATAACACAAAAATACTGCCACACTGAAATGCCTATTTTTCAGGTTGGTGTCAGCTCCAGAATTACTTTCCGCGCGTGTAGTTACGTCGCAAAAGTAAGTATGATTTACTCACTCTTCTGTTTTTTGTCGCGTCTTATGTTAGCTGATGATTAGTCACGAAGCCCCACGCGTGCTGCGGCGATCTCAGCGCGCTGGATGTCCTCCTTTCTTTTTTTCTCTTTTTCCCTTTTAAACAAGCATGCCAGACTGATGCAGGTGTCAGTCTCTATATCGAGGACATGTATTTAGACAGGTGCCTGTGTGATCATCCTTGTCGTCCTCGCACAGTGTATGATCTTTCTCCCTGGGCCTCTGTTTAAAATCACACCTTTGTACCATTGTTTCCACCTTTTAATCAAAATTGCTGCATAATACATGGGCAGTGGGCGCTCCCAGCTCACTGAACCTCGTATCGTCCGGGGCTAAATTAATTATGGCCTCAAACCGGTGGCACCGGTTTTATACTGTTATACCTGTTGCTGTTGTTGCTGGATGGTCCATGGAGTATGTACCATAGAAACTTGAGGAATGGGGTGCTGGTAATTTGTTGGCACAAGTGAAAGGGCACCGGGTGGGCGTGTCTCATCCATGGTGAATTGATTTTATGTTGCAGCTGCCCTTGCTGTTCTGGTTGCTGTCTTTGCTGCTCTTGGCGCTGATGTAGCTCCTCACGTCGCTGTTCCTTGGGCTGTCGTTAGTAGTTGCGTTGTTGCTGCAGAAGTTGCTGAGGCTTTGTATGTTGTTCATGTAGAAGCTTTTGCTGCCTGGCACGTTCTTGCTCATGAAGTTGTCGCTGACTCTCCTGTTGGCGGCGCAGCTGACCCGAAATTCGTATTGGCACTCACGTTGCTGCTCCTGATGCCGTCTTAGCTCACGTTGTAGCTCTTTACGTGCTCACTGCAACTCAAGTTCACTTTGTTCCTTGGCTTCTTAAAATGTTATTAATGCTTTTGGTATTCGTACTCGGGCTGTGCTGCATGTCGTTGCTGCTCCATACGTTGAATGAGACGTCCATGTTTATATTGTTTACGTTGCCGTTGTTCAGCCTGGAGCCATGCTTGCTTTTGTAAAGCCCACTGATCGTGGATTCAATCTCCCGCCCCTGCCCGTTTCAATCTGGATGAGTATCGTACCGGTGGGCTGTCATGTATCACTATTGCGCGACGTACGTACGTTTAAGACGTCAGACAAGCAGCGGTATACTGCACTGGCTTTCATCTCCAACGAAGACACCAGACGCCCTCAGGGCTGACTAGCCTCCCGCTGTCTAAACATACACACTACAGAATTACAATTGATGGCTCCGTTGGTCGGCACTTTTTTACGTTGCAAAAAAGAATACCTAACGTGCCCATTAGTGACCGACCAGAGGTTCGCAACTTTGTCGGGAAAACTAAAAAAAAGAAGAAAGCTTAACTCCTATGGAAACGCAGCGAAGACACCGGTCTTCAAACTATAGCGCCCTATGGTTTGAAGACCGGTGGCTTCGCTGCGTTTCCATAAAACTTAAGCCTTTTTTTTTTTTTTACTTTTTCCTTAGGTAAGCTCGTTCTTTGCGAATTTCATAGAAAAATGCATCACCTGTAGCCAATGGTGTACAAAATCGGAACGTAATAGGTTAAGAAACCGAATTTTGCGGTCGATTTAAAGAGCCTGGCCGCTCTTTAAATCACCCAGTAGATAAGAAGAGCAAAAGCAAATGTTTGTGTGTATGTTTATACAGCCGGAAGTTAGTCTGCCTCAGTGGGCGTCTGGAGTCTCAGCTGTAGATAGGAATTTAGCCAGCGCAGTACTATTCCTAGCCTGGGGTCTTTAACGTGCATCACGCAGTAGTGATACACGACCGCACGCCGGTACTAGAGTGCCTTCATGTTCGCTTTGTACGATGCTCATCCAGGTCGAAACAGGCAGGGACGGGGATTGAACCCAGGATCCCTGGGTTCTGCAGCGCGAGCTTTCGCTCCACATGCTCCGAGCTGGTGTGCGCTAGACCACTCGGCCACCGACGGGGTTAGGCCTTTGACAGCAAAATCAAAAAGATATAAAAAAAATAAAGGATGTTTTGTTTGCTGGCCCAGTGGCCTTAAGTCAGACTTCTGTAAGAACGCTAGTGTAAAATCCTTGACATTCGTCTTAACAGCGACAAAGAAAAATTGGACGAGAGTAAAGAAACATACACGACAGGACGGCGCTGACCTAACTAGCCCAACACGTCACATTGCTGCCTTGACATTCAGACTACCCAAGATTATTTCTCTCACCCCTTTAAAATTGTTGGAAAGTGGAGCTGGAGGTCAATGGGGTTCAATTGGCTCGGGCTAAATTACATTAATCTCGCCAGACCATATTTCCCCCGTACGTTATCATCAAAACGCGGCAGAAATTTAGCGTTGGGTGTGCCCTTGATATTGTAAGCAGCGAAATCGTAGGTTACGTCAATGAAACTTCGAGTGCCTAGATTTCTTATTAATTGACCATGGTATATTTTTGATGTTGTTATTTTTAATAGTTTCACTTTTCTTTTAATTAGCCACTTTGGAGAGATGGCACACGGGAATGAGGAAGCAGCCACCCCGACTCCCGAAGACCTCACCAGCCTCTTGAATGTCGCCCTGTCATGAACAGCTTCTCAGGCGAAGTGCTGCACCTGCCCAAGCACTGAAGATGTGCCGCGCACACTTTGAACTTAGTGGCGACTGAGAACGTAGACAAAAGATGCACGATCAGCACGTATACCGTCAGATGGCAACGGCCGTGCTTGGAACACTGAAACTTATTTGGAATAAGCAGGGCCAGTCCACCCGAACAGCAAAAGTCATAAAAAAAAACAAAAAAACTAGGGAGATATTTTTCGGTTCCTAACACTACTCGCTGGAATTCAATGAAGTCAGTTGAGGAGGCCCCGAAGGACAAGATAGAGGCTGTCTGCGACGCCCTCGCACTGCCGCGTCTACAAAAAGACGATCAGAAGTTAATCGAGGAGTATTGCCAGGTATTTCCAAAAGCTCTCTCACGTTTTTGCGATAGTTTTAATGTGTTTTGTTATTCCTTAGACCATGAAAAGAGTTACCAAGGCGCTCGACATCCTACAAGGTGAACGGTACATGTTCATGGGCGCTTCGGTGCCGACATTAATGGCGTTGATGCGGCAGCTACATTCACAGCCTACGCTAAAGTTTAGCAGCTCGCTTGCAGACACAGTGAAGATCGCAGTGATGTCGAGGTCAGTTTCTTATTCTTTGGAAAATGTACGACCTCTTTGTTAGCGCCTTTTGGTAGAAAGTTACGTCTGCCGGGCAGGCTCATTCACGATTATCAAGACAAGTGCTGTCCACAATTTCATTAAATTATAAGCAAAACAGTTGCAATTATTTATTACATATTAGACTTAAAGGTCCTTGGCCACAATATTCCTACCATTGTTTCATTAAGGCACGTATCATAAGGCGAATACCGTGGACGTAACAGCTAGTGGACTTGAACTGCGACCCGCTCGTGAAACGTTTGTTTTTAATTTTTAATGTTACACATGTGAGGAAATTTTTTTATTTCATTCGTAGATTTTCTGAAGACCTCAGGTCCGACGAGCTCCTTCTGGATACAGTGGTGCATCCAAATTTAAAATTTCATGGATTCATGAAGCGCAGAAAACGCATTCTATGCTTCTTGAAGAGGAACGTAACGCACTGCGCCCTTCCGAGGAAGCTACACGGGAGCCAACAAGCGATGAAGACGACGACGACGACGACTCCTTCTTGTGACTGCGTCCTAATGTTAAATTTACCAGTGAAGCACAGCAATGGAAGACTGACACCTCATCAACGGCGTTATCTAGCCTCAACGACTTTCCCAGCATTGAGATGTTTTTACGCCTCAATGCCGCACTTCCTTCTAGCGCACCTGTCGAACGTATTTTCAGCAAGGGGCGGGAGATTTTCAACATCAAGAGGGGAAAGCTGAGCGACAAGAACTTCGAAAAGCAGTTGCTGCCTCGATACAACATGGAGTAAATAACAACACGGCGTTTAAATATATCTCGAAAAGTTTAGAGTTTTCAGAAATTCCCAAATAAATGTAAGTGTACCTCATTTTGTTTTGTCATCCATGCCTTCATAGTTGCATACACATATGAGTATCTTGAAAATAACTAAGTTACTCTGCCCAAGTAACTGTAACGCGTTACTTCTATTTTAAGTAACTGTAACTGTAACTTAAATACATTGTTCGGAATGTAACTATAATTAAATACTTTTAAAAAGTAACTTACCCAAGACTGGTTATAAACCATCAAGAACATCACAGTCATGAGGCAGCCTGCTTGTAGGTATTGTAAAAACGTTTATTGTGATGCCGCCTTCTGACCTGAAGGCCTTAGGCGGAATATTTCTTCCTCTTCGTCTTCTCATCAAACGAATTTTTATAGACAAGCGTTTAATTGTCGTAAGCCAGAAATATATTCAATCGGCGCATTACAGTTATTTTAAATACTAAGTAATCTGGCCCACATTTTGAATCACAGTGGTCGGAATAGTTGTTCAGGGAGTCTCAGACAGTGTTGGGCAGGGCAGTGTGGTGTCGCACGCGGCTAGAAACATCCATTGCTCATTGGCGAGAGCGAAGGGCGTAAGAGGGCAGCTCTCTAGCCGGGCCATAGAAGAACATGGCAGGGCATCACCGTGCAACTCACTTAATCTTATTTCGCAACACTGATTGCGGGCACTTGTAAGAACGCAAGATAAGCGATAGGAAACGTCATGGGTTGTGGTCCTGGCTGCTTAGTTGCGAACTGCAGGTCTCATTGTAGGTGTAATAAGCACAGAAGCTTGAAGTCGTCGCCTTCCCAAACCTTCATCGTCAAAGTTCACCGCCTCACATTACTCTTATTTCAATAGATGAGTAAGAAATTAATCCAAAGCCGACCTAGGGATCCTTTTGCCCACCGTGCGACAGTTTTAGTAGCGCACGTCGCGGGGAAGGGGTTTATTAGATTTTTTTTCTTCCCGAGCGTCGAATTTGAGTCATAACAACTGGCTTTCTATTACATCACCGAGATTCCCGACCACCAAAAATGGGTAATGACGAATTAACCCCAAGACAGCTTTTTGAACCCATAACAGGGTTGCGTATAAAACTCAACCAGAACTGCTGGCCATGGTACGAAGAGTAGCGAACAGCGCTGGGGAACAGAACAGGGAGCGTGCTATTGGTGATGGTGTGGACTGCCTGAAAGAATCCGTGAGTCGACGCCCTATAGGCAAAACCACCTTTTAAGAAGGTTGTAGATTTTTCAAGCTCAACGAACTCTCGGTTGTGCAGGCCGATAAGGAAGGGGGATTTGTTGTAATGTCGAAGGGCCAATTCCAGGAAAAAGCATTGAGAGCAATAGATAAGAACTTCAAAGAAGTTAAGTTTCGACAAAAGTCTCAAAAATCAGCGGCTGTTGAGTTGCTAAAGGGACTGAACCTAGACATGTTAAGGAAAGCTGTAGACAAAGCAGAAAGTGGAGTTTTGGAAATTTTTTTCGCGGGAAAAACACACAAGGCTGAGTGTCCTTTCCGAGCCATTGTGTCAGAAAAGAACACTTGGCAGGTTCAGATCAGTCGGTTCTTACAGCGCCATTTGGACACTCTTGCGCTAAAAGACCCTTTTTTGGTGCAAAGCTCGCTAGAAATAGTCAATGAACTTAAAGAAGGTTTTCAAAATGCTGTCACTGCAATATCTGTGGATGTTGAGGACTTATATTATTCCGTTCCTCACGATGGACTTCTCAAGGCTGTTCGGGATAATATCAACGAGTCTGGAGAAATTAGATTTCAAAGTTCCGCGGGCGTTAGCAGCGATCATTTTTTGGAGCTGCTAGTCTTTTATCTTCAGTCGACTGCCGTCAGTTTTGACGAGAGATATTTTGTACAAAAGTTTGGTGTGTGCATTGGGTCGACAGTTGCCCCTGTTTTGTGTAACATTTTTTTGGCATCACTGGACCGGCAAATTTCAGATAGACTTGCAGATCTCCATGTTTTAAAGACGTATAGATACGTAGGTGACTATTTATTAATTTTAGATACAGACTCGGGTTTGGAGAAAACGGTTGAGAAGATTGTCGGACTGTTTAGGGAGGTGTCAGGCGGACTTAATTTTACCTGGGAATTGCCTGTGAATAACTACATTCAGTTTTTAGACATTTTGATCCTTTTTTCTGAAGAACATGTCTGTTGGCAGTATTGTCCGCGCACTAAGAAAAGCCTGGTGTTGTTTGAAAGTGCTCACTCTAAACTGGTAAAGAGGGGTATAGCCTTGACATGTCTAAGTGCGGCTCTGGAAAAAAGTTGGAACCACCAGATGAAAATCAGTTTTGAACGACAATCAAAAAGGTTAACAGACGCGGGGTACCCCCCTAATCTAATCTCTAGTTGTTGTGAGAGCCTCCTCCAAAAGCTAAAAAGAAGTAAAAAAGGCACCGAGGCACGTAAAGAAAAGAAACGAGTGCAAGTCATTCCGTACATGCATACCCTATCTCATAATCTAAAAAAGGTAGCTGGTAGATACGACATTAACGTGGTTTTTTCTGCACCGTGTAAACTTGCCAGGATATGTCCGATGTTGACAAGGCAGAAAAAGGCACCGTGCTCCAAGAAACACGCGGTGCAATATACTGCGTGTGTCACCAATGTGGTGTACGAGATTCCCTTTAGTTGTGGCAGAGTCTACATTGGGCAGACTGGGCGCTGCTTCAATGATAGAGCACGTGAACATAATTTGTGTCTGCGCAACAACGCGGGGGGCCATCTCGCTGACCATTGTGGGCGATGTGGATGCAAACCTGACCTGACTGGCACAAAGTTTTTAAGAAAGGCAAAGGAAAAAACGGAAAGAGAAATTATAGAGGCATTCTACATAAAAAAGAAAGAAAACAATTGCGTCAGCGCTCCGTCTTTGTATTTGCTCCAGAGTGAGATGGTGTTTCTGGAAGGTTGGCTATGATTGTCGCGATTGAATCCGATGTGGTTTGGGCAATGTGTATATATAGGTGACAATGGTGTTAATAAAAACCAGTTGAGAGTGAAGCGCCTGTCCTGTCGTCCGTGTTTCTTTATTGTCCTCGTTTGTTCGCGCTTTTTAACCTTTTACTCAATAACCTGCAGCAAGTTTGCAGGCGAACAAGAACATCGACCAGAGGCCCTAAGCTGGGGCCCTAATCTGGACACTTGGCGAAAAAGTCGGCGAGAAATCTGGCGGCTCTGATTGGCCGACGCCGCACTTGACCTTGGCGCCGGCAATCATAGCCGTCAGATTTCTCGCCGTCTTTCTCGCCAAGTGTCCAGATTAGGGCCGCTGGACGCTTGGCCAAAACGACGGCGAGAAATCTGGCGGCCGCGATTGGCCAACGCCACCCTTGACCTTGGCGCCGGCCAATCATAGCCGCCGAATTTCTCGACGACTTTTCCGCCAAGTGTCCAGATTAGGGCCCCCAGATAAAGGAAGAAAGAGGCCGAAGGAGCAGGTGGACAGAGACGTTCTCATTGGTCGGGCACGAGTGACATCTTTCTGACGACTGACTCGACGTCACGCCCACTTTCTCTCCCCGATGTCTCCGTCTTGCTCCGACAAAAACCATGTCCAAACCGAAAAGCGGAACGAAGCGTTTCCGCTTCCCGCGTTTTGGCTGGAAAAGTGCACGCTTTCCGTTTTTGGTTTGGAGACCCCTTTACCATTTCAATAACCTGTCTCGCAACCACAGGGGTGAGGCGAAGCGTCCGAAATGAAAGAAAAGGTTGGTCAGTAATGGCCGCGCACCCACTGAAAATCGTCCACGTGTAAATGAATAAATCAGCGCCAACCTAAAAAGTTTTCTAAAAACGGCCATAAAAAAGTTAAGGAATCTGCTATTACGTTTATTGCTGACTTTAGACAAAACGTAGCAACATTTACTGAAATCAAATGCTGCTAAGTTTGCAGATTTTATATTAATTCTCCTGTTTACACTAAAGTTACATGTAAAGTAGTAAAACAAGTATTAAAACTTCCCGTTTATGTTTAAGGAGGATTAATTTTTTTACTGCAATATGCAAACGAGCATATAAGGGGAATTCACTGGACGCGATATCTGAGGACGATATTTCGACCGCAAGCTCAAAACGAGCTCACGTTAATAGGCTACTATATAAGATCGGCAATCTTGATGGTGCGGAATGCACGTTGCAAAAGAACTGCGGAAACTCGCTATCAGCACGCGCTCAGCACTTGCAAACGCAGCTTTGGCCGCCAATGAATGCTCTCTATATCGAGGTCTGTCTGCCAGAATAACGGATACCATCATGATGTTTAAGCCCTGAGAGTGGGAAGGAAACTTGAAGAATTGAGGCGCTTGTCGGTCCCCCACCTTTCTTTTGTTTCTTCTAATATATCTCCAAGTTTCCTCCCCAGTCTTAGAATTTAAACATCACAATTAATACGCACCAGTTCGCCAGCACATTGACCATTTTTTCACGGATACCACGCGTTAACTTAACACCTAAAGGCGGTGCATTTGTACCACGAAACAATGTTTGCCTATTTTTCGCCATTTTCGTTCATTTTAAGGCGAGCCTTGCAAGAAATGTTGAGCATACATTTTTGCAAAATTCAGCACACATGTTGACGTTATATACCAATGAATAACTGTTGCAAAAGTTTCAGACGTAAAAACCGAGCAATTGTCGTGGAAATTGATCGCGCATTTCCTCCCGTGAAGCCTACTTTGCAATCTAAAATTAACCTGAAAATGCAAGAAAGGGCCACGATATGCAAAGGAAGCACTCTTTGTCTACACATCCCAATAATTTGAAACAAATCGGTCACATCCTAAACCCTGCCCATTTGTACTACCAAACCATGTCGACCGAAAACGCCACTTTTCCCACAGTTTTCACAGTGGTAAACTTTTAATTTACTCATACTTATTTGACATCACGATGAAGAACATTTCCTCTTCTATAGAGTGGCATATATTAAATATTCTTAGGGAGCGACCAAGCGTTATAATAGCGATTCAAAACACCGGCTTATTTCGTAATTTTTCATGGCCGCCGTGGAGCCTCAATCTTAAAAAACGCACTATAAAAAGAAAAAGGAAAAAAATGAAAATTCTTGCAAAGCTAAAATATAAAAGAGATAAAATAAATCAATTATATTTACAACTACTGAAATTATTTAAAAGTTAGAATTACGGCCATATGTCACAGCGAAAAATATTTCGCCCATGTGGGGATTTTCAAAGCGTGCGGGGTTTAGGCACTGAGCCAGTGAATTTTCTTTCGCAGAAATTGTGCCCCGCGCGTTCAACAATGCGCGAGGCTCAGGCGAAAGCCGATGATCTGTTGCGCGCAAGCGAACGTATACATTTTGTTTTCTTCTCCAAGCTGCTTACCTACACATGCGTGTTTATCGCGACGACTCAGCATTCTTCCGCGCAAAAACAAAGCAAGAAAAAAAAAATAAAAGCTCGAACAATGTTCTTGGAATCTGGCCTATCAGCCCGATAGCCTCTGACGGACCTTTGTGAATACGCGAGGAGGACGATCCTCGTGCCCTAGCTGGTTTCCGCGGCATTAAAACATAAAACCGAAAAGCAGAAATAAAAGAACAGGAATATATATCCGTTCGTCATAAACTAAAGCTGTCTGCCATAACTTTGCCGCTAGAAATGTAAACATTGCGAATGCCTGTTTTCGTAGGCGCCCGAGTCGCGGTACCGCTTATTTACTCTGCAGAAGGAGGCAACTTGCGAAGCTCCACTGAGCGCGGCGCGTCGCCTGTTGAAATTTTCCAAGGAAGCTGATTTCCAAGTACAACGCGTCGAATTGTTCTAAGAAATATCTTTTTTTTTTTTCCTTATTTTCTTTAAATTGTTGTAGGGGCTTGCTGGTGTCAATTTGCAACGCTCGGACGTCGTCGTACTGTCCTAGCACGCTGTGGACAATGCGCTTTTTCTTTCGTTCTTGGAAGAACAACCTGTTAACATTAACAATGCTAATACTGAGTCGTATTTTAGCACAAACACTGCATCAAGTTATTTTTATTTTAGAAACCACATTCATCATGCTATCATCAAATATGTAGTAGCTCAAGAAAAGGTAAATATTTGTGGCCGTTTGTTGCCGCTTTCTAAAAATGCAAAGCTTAAAGCATTTTTTTTTTATGAGCCCACGCTAGTATTTTTTTTTTATTAGGAAGTGAAGTCTAGAATCTAGAGTTGGGATAATTTATAGACCGTGAGTCAGATTAAACTCTGGTGATTTCATTTTACTGATTCCATTTCATTCGGCTATTCAATCTAACATAAAAACGTAATAGGTGTTAACACGTTTGCTTCCTTGAGAAATATCACTCGTAGACATCTAAGATTACAAATTATGTTCGGCGTTTATATTAATTATATGTCAAAAAACAAATTAGTCGTTAGTTGTTTATACAGCAAGAGTTTAGTCTGCCAGAACATGGCGACATTGTTACCCACTGTAGATAAGCAATTTAACCAGTGCAGTACAACTGCTAGCCTGGGGTCTTTAACGTGCACCACGCAGTAGTGATACACGACCGCACGCCGGTACGATGCTTATCCAGATCGAAACGGGCAGGGGTGGGGATTGAGCCCAGGATCTCTGGGTTCTGCAGCGCGAGCTTTCGCTCCACGTGCTCCGAGCTGGTGTGCGCTAAACCACTCGGCCACCGATCCCCCTTTATATGTCAGCTGTATCAGTCAATACGCCCAGCGCCGCCACCCAAGAAAGACAACGAATCAACTCCTTGGCGCGAGCCCAACGGCACGTGGATTAAACAGAACGCTTTCACCTAAGCTCGCAATCGGTCGCACAATCTCTTCCATCCTCAAATCGGAACGCGCTACACCAGCTATCTTGTATGTGAGTGCAGAAGTTGATTATAGACACCGCCGTCAAGGTGGTGCCGCATTTCTGATGATATGCTATCTCAGTGGTTCTCGGCCATTGATGTTTCGCGGACCTCTTGTGGATGGGCAGAGATGATGGAGGACCCCATTTGTGGTGAAAGAAAGAGAGGTTAATTATGATAATGATTTAATAAATGGATATAACTAAGTGATAGTATGATATAGACTTCTCCTATTAACATATACACGAGAAAACTCACCCGAAAATTGGAACTTTTGTTCAACATCTAAGAAAAGACAAGTTTTATTGCCGGGCTTCACTGATGAGGTCACGGGCTTCGCGGACCCTTAGAATGACTTCTCGGACCCCAAAAGGTCCGCAGACCCCCATTTGAGAACCACTGTGCTATCTGATGATACGCAAGTACACTTTTTGTCTGCTTGCGTTATTGGTGTTTACCACTAGACTTTCTTTTTTTCATGTGTGAGTTGCTTTATGTAGAAAAGAGATCGATAAATGCAAACTTTATCTTCTTCGTATATAAAAAAATATACTAAGTTGAATTCTATCCAAGATAAACGCTGAAAGTTAGGTAAATCTTGAGCGTAAGCGAGAATTGTATCGCGTGATGAGTTTAAATGCCTCACCATATATTACGTATGCGCTGTGCGCGAATTCCTTAGACAGGTGCGGCAATCTTGAAACCACAGGGATGTTCCGCCGTGCTTACAACCGGCACGCGTGCGGTCTCGTCTTAAAACGAAAGATACGGCGGGACACGCTGCGGAAAACCTTCGGTCCGCAAGACTCTATAGTATACTAAGCAGCATCTGGCGTGCTGAAGGTTCCGTTTTCGTGGGCGCTAACTGCAATCGTTAAAGCAACGCTCGAAGAGATTCTGTGCATTTCTCTCGCAATCATGTCCCCGCTATTTTTAGCTAACCACAATGCTCTTTTTTTTTTTTTTTGAGGGGGGGGGGGGGGGGGGGGGGTTAAGTATGTCGTTTACAAGCCAGCTCGCCTGAACTATTTTTCATATCATTTCACTGGAATGTCGTTTATCTTTCCTATATTTCATTAACGGTTTTTACCCTAATAAGAACCAAAAGAAAATTGGGTTGTGTGTATGTTTATACAGCCTAGAACTTAGTCTGGCTCAACAGGCGACTTGTCTCCCGGCTGTAGATGAGAAATTTAGCCAGTGCAGTACAACCGCTAGCCTGGGGTTTTTAACGTGCACCACGCAGTAGTGATACACGACCGCACGCCGGTACGATGCTCATCCAGATCGAAACGGGCAGGAGTGAGGATCGAACCCAGGATGCCTGGGTTCTGCAACGCCTGCTAATAAGAACCATTAGTACAGAGTTCCGTTTATTTTAGTCGCCAACATCTTAATAGACACTTCAATTGAATCTTCGTGTTTAAGATGCACAGGACTGGCCACACCGTGCGTTTCTTAAGCTGAATTTCATATGTATTAAAAACAAAAATGCGCTGCGTTTGCAAGCCCGGACTTCGGGCGCCGCCATCTTGCTGCTGATATGGGTAGATCGTCTGATAGTCAAGCATTGCTGAGGCGTACCCAGGACCTCAGTAATGCGTGACTATGAGACGACCAAGATGGCGGCGCCCAGAAGCCGCGCTTGCAAACGTCTAGACGCGTGGACGGTGTTTTAATATTGTCCGTCGGGCTCTGCTGAAAGTCAGAAGTTAGTCCTTGTTCTTCGTTGTGCTTCATTACTTGAGCGCGGAGTGCGTCCTATAAATATCGAAAACGTGACCTCCCCCTTCCGATAGATAACCCCAATGGCCCGCACCATTCGGCTCCAGCTGGACTGCCTCAAAGTGGCGACAGACGAATGAAAATCCGAGATAGCGAGGGGAAATCGGTTTAATATAGCGCACTTGGCGCGCATTATGAATAGCGATCTGAAGGGATGCCGAGACACAGCATTTCGGTAACACCAGCTGGCCGCTGTTACGTCAGATAGATACTTAATTGGGGTTGTGGGGATATTTATACAGCGTGTAGTTGGTCTGCCATTTAAAGTTGCGACGAGTCACGCGCTGTAGATGAGCAATTTAGCCAGTGCAGTACAACCGCTAGCCTGGGGTCTTTAACGTGCACCACGCAGTAGTGATACACGACCGCACGCCGGTACGATGTTCATCCAGATCGAAACGGGCAGGGGCGGGGCTCGAACCCAGGATTCCTGGGTTCTGCAGCGCGAGCTTTCGCTCCACGCGCGTCGAGCTGGGTGTGCGCTTCAGCCCACTCGGCCACCGATCCCCCCAGATAGATACTTCCGCGCTCAAAAGACAGCGTTTTCTCTTAATTTGGGAATTTTCTACGACTCGGAATATATAACAAATTGTTGTAACAAAAGGGTAAGGTATAAAAACGTGTTTGACAAATAATAAGAGCGTAAATACCACGTGACATTATAAACGTGCTCTGTGTGACATAGAGGCAAACAGGTGGCTAGAATATTTCGAAAAATATAAACAAAATAATATACTCTGTCTATTAGCGAGAGTAAATTACAAATGCAAGCTCGATCAAACCACAAACAAAGGTAAAATGTATGCAACGTACCTCTTGGACGTCTTCTTTCTCCTGTTCCTGTTCCATTTGTAATCCTCGTCGACCACTGGGAGCGTCAGCACGAACCGGAGCTTCGACGCCTCCAATACCTCTCCCGTGAACGCCAAAACACCAACATCGTTCGAGGGTTCGAACCGCAACAAGTCGTATACAATTCCCAAGTCCCTTCTTAAAACAGGGTACAGGAAGCCGACGCCTCGCGCAACACGCTCCGAATCTTCACTGCGCGCGGGAACTCATGTCCGGTCGCGGCCTCCGCTTGGCTCGTGGTCGACACGTCCTTGCCTCTTCCCACGAGTCGGACGACGCTCCGACACCGCGAGCATCACGGCGGGCCGGCCTCGAGACGGCTGGGACTCGGACGCAGCGAGTCTTCTCCCATGCGCCTGTCCACGCGGGACTCGTCTAGGGGTGAAACGTAGCGCGGGTCCCCCAAAAGTGAACCCGTCCCGTTCTGGGATCCGTCTCGGGCGTGCGCAGTTCGCCCAAGTCGTTGCCGTCGACGACCGACGCCGTCCCGACAAGAGACAACGCCACCTAGAAGAGAAGGCCTGCGCCTGACGTCATCACTAGTGCTTCCCCGACCCGCCCCGAGCGGCAAACGCGGCGAAACTCGACGAGAAAAGCCGCAAAGTGCTGACGCAAGCTAGGCGGCGCTGTATGAGCTGAATGGATTTACCGTTGATGACGTTCGAAGGAGAAAGGAGGAGGCCTTGCCTTCTATACGTGGTCTTGCGAGCCAGCTCGCACGTACGCGGCTCCGTACTGCTTCTCTTTTCCGACGGCGGCGTGCGCTCGCGCTCGCCTCGAAGTTGGGGCGTGGGCGAGACGCTCCGACGGCCGCAGCGCCGAGACGCATGCGGACCGGTGGAGCAGGGGATGAAGAGATTGGGCCAGCGGCGCGGTGTGTTGTTTGGGCATTCTGGCGCCCAACGTGGGGCGCCGGGATGGTGTTGGAGGAGAGCGTGGGGGAGCTCTGTCGGCGTTCGCCGACGTCGCGGGCGCGCTTATACGCTGGGTGCGCCGTCCGCTCCATTAGAGGCGCTCTTCATTTTTTAGGGGGGAAATGGCCGAATCAGGTTGGCAACGCGAAGCAGTTTTATGGGTGCGCTTTTCCGTTGCTCTTTAATGCGCATGGCTGTTTCAAAGAAAAAAAAAAGGGGGGGGGGGGGTGAATCGCTCTTAATAGTTGGCTCTTATGAAATTTCGCATCTCTACAAGTCCTCTGGCATCTCGATTAATTTTCTTGTGTTGTTACTGCAAGCGGTCCAGTGTCTCTATTTTCCTGAGCAAACTACGACGGCCAGACTTGCGAAAATTCCGCATGGGGATTTTTGCGAGTCGCGATAAACCGTTGAGAGCGAGGCTGGGACGGACTGCTGCGATTTCATGCACGGGGGAAATTGGTAGTAAGGATAAGTCAGCGACAACTGATCGTAAACAAGAAAAAAAGAAAACACATACACACAAAAAAAACACGAATGGCGTGATGATGCTTTAAAACCAACAGCCGGCCACGCAACGACAAAGAGAGGACTCAAGTTCATCTAAGATGCGCGACTTATCGTTTTTACCATCCTCCCCCATGCATGAAATCGCGGCAGTCCGTTCCAGGCTCGCTCACAGCGGCTTATTGCGACAACGGCACCACATGCGGGATTTTGGCCGCTCCGGTCGACGTTGCGACGAGTCAGCTTATTAGGGAGTTGTTGTAGATCGTTTTTGTCCTCCGCTGCGGTATCCGTGGAAAAAACGCCGCAGCTGCGCATGCGCGCCCCCAGCCTTGTCTGCATAGTTCAAGGTCTTGTGGCGGATTACGGAGCGCTATCCGGGTGCTTAGAGGGCTGCGGAAACGCTCTACTACAATTCCCCATTATGATGCCGCGACTGTACATGTTAAGCGGCGCACCACGGTATTCGTGCGTTTTATCTTTGCGCCTGACGTCATTCAAAGAGCGCTTCAATGACCACCAGAGACGAGGGCAAGAAGGAGCTCCCCGCTTATCAGGACCCTCTTTTGTGCCTCCCGGATTTGCACAGGCGTCGCTATTCTCCTCCCAGAAGATTATAGAAAATTAACCTGTCGCTCAAAATTCTTACAAAAGCAGCTTCCCTCTCCTCCTCTTACATGGTGGTCAAAAGTATGCGATGTGATGTCAGTGTCTTTTTTGTTTTGTGATAGAGAATAATACATAGCTTCATCTCATCTCAAACAACTCGAGCATGATTGCAGGATCAACATCTTAATTTTGACGTTAACAAAAAATATATTGTAGGGTGTTTTGTAACTGGAAGGAAGCGAAAGCTGACAGTGTTTCGTAGTCTTTTCTTAATTTTTAAACTTAAGCCAAGGCGCAAACTGTTTTTGTTTTTTCAATCGTAGGTGGTCACATGGTCGACATCTTACGCTTTCTTTTTAGAGCGCAGCTCGGTGTCCGTTTCCGGCTTGAGCGGCGTCGCTGTCGGCGTAACCGCGCGGTGCATTATGGGACGCGTGACGTCACTGGTGACGTCATCAGTGACGATGACGTCATCAGTAATGATGACATAATTATTGACGTCACTGATGACGTCATCAGTGACGATGACGTCATCAGTATTGATGACGTCATTATTGGCGTCATCATTCAGTAATGTAAATCATTACTGATGACGTCATCAGTAATCATCACGCCATCATCATTCATTAATGACGTCATTAGTGACGATGATGATGACGTCATCAGTGACGACACTGGTGAGTACGATTACTATGACGTCATCGTCATCGTCACGTGACCTCACAGGGGTCACGTGACGCCACGGGAGTCATGGAGCGTGACACCCGTGAGGTCACGTGACCCTCGTGAGGCGAAGGCGACGCCGCTGTAAGGGAGAGTAGCAAACAGGATGAGGACGCGAGGAGGGGGGACGGGGGTATACCCTCCCCTCAGTACCCTTCCCTCCTCCTCCTCCTCAAGAGCTGCGCTCTAATGCGGCGTTACAGGAAGTTGTAAACGGCTTTTCTTCTTTTTTTTTTTTTTACTTCTTATGGTATGAAAATATGTTCTATGCCAGGTAATTCTAAAATGCGAACATTACTAATAAGTATTATCTAGGATTCAGATTTTTCGGTTTAAACCGATAAAAACCGATAAAAGTATGCCGAATCCATTTTCGGTTTTAACCGAAAAAGGTCAGGGGTTTTTAGGTTCGGCATTTTCGACTAAAACCGATAAAAACCGATAAAAGTACGTCGAATCCGGTTTCTAAAATTCAGTTTTAACCGGAAAAAGGTCACTTAGACCTTCCAGTTGTACCGGAGAGCCGTGGCGAAAAAGTAAAATGACAGTGTCTATCGAAACGTGCCCGAATGTATGGGATACAGGGGTGCCATCACGACATATTGGTTCAATGAGCGCATCATCGATCGACACGTGAAGTCCGAAATGCCTCATGACTTTGCCATGTACGAGCGTGTTTTCAAATTCGTTGTAAGGAAGACTGACTTGATCCACGCTCTGCTTGTTTTGTTGTGCTTCAAAACGTCGCATCTTTTGGTGGTCACAATTGGTTGATTGGCCGATTTTGGCTCGGGCAGCGCTTCACCTCCTCAGCCTGCCAGTGTTCAGTGTTAGCGCTGAGAGGGTATTCTCAAAGCTCAGGGTCCTATTAACAAGAAAGAAAGAGTGCGGATCAACGAGGAGAACCTGGGAACCTGGGAAAGGACATGTGTGTGTGTGTACTATAATAAGATCATGTAATCCTGATATACAGAAGGTGAAGTTCCATGATTTTGGGCACAGGCTTCATATCTGACTTCTTTGTACGTGTGTTTTTTTCGTGTTTCTTTTACAGTTGTACACATTTGCCAAATGAAGTGTCCATTTCTTTTTCAGTGTATCTGTGCCGTTACTCTGAGTAATCACAAATATCAGAGCTACAAGGATAATCTGACCCGGTGTCCGTTGGTATTTATTTTATATTCACCGAAAAAAGCCGATAAACTTTTGTGGGCATAAATATACGCCGAAAAAAAAACGAAAATTGATTTTTAAAATAAACACCGAAAAAAGTACGCCGAATTAAAAAAAAATAGAAACCGAAAAATCCGAATCCTAGTTATATCATAGCCTTCTTTATTCTAGAAAGCCTGTCAACTACACGAAAGAGCCATTGGGCACGCGGCCGCCGGAAAAAGGCAAGCAAATGGTAGCGCAGAGCCACTTCTGGAGAGCATATACAGTTACTCTAGGGTATCTAGGGTAACCCTGGGTAACCTAGACTTTCTGTATAGGCTCCCTACGTGAGGCTTGTATCCGATTGCCTGAACCCCCAACGGGGCGAGAGAAAAAAAGAGGGAGAGGAGGACACCCTACAGTGACAGACGGCCCCAGCAACGACGCTCACGCCGGATTGGCTGGCTCGTGGAGATAGACGCTGTCGCCGTCCACATAGGCAGCGGTTAAAACGAGCTTCCGAAGCGGTAGCGTCAGCCTGCCTCATAAGCAGCGGACCCCGGTTCAATCCCCAATGTAAACTTTTTTTTTTTTTTTTTTTTTTTTTTTTTACATTTTGTTTGGGTGAGGCATTTAAAGATATTTATGACATTTCTTTTTTACAATTAACTCAAAAAAGAAAAAAGAATGTAGTCAACGAAATTTTGCTTAACTGAATGGTATGAGACTCCCTTTCCGGAGGTGCATGGGGGGCAGCGGGGTTTAGGTTACCGTACAGCCAATCCGGCGTGAGCGCCGTTTCTAAGGTGTCTGTCATTGCTAGGGTGTCCTCCTTGCTAGGGTGTCCCTCACCACGTTGGGCGTCCAGGCATTCGGAAATACGCCTACGGAAGCCAGAGTCGCGCGCGTTCATCCCCGTGGCGCCGGCTTTCCTGCACGGCCCGGGATTCTGCTCGTCATGTGACTGAATTTGACGAATAGCGGCGCTGTGCGTTCGCGGCGCGTAGAGTTCCTGTATAGGCTCCCTACGGAAGCCAGAGTTGCGCGTTATCTCCGTAGCGCCGTCTTTCCAGCACGGCATGTTGATCCCGCTCGTCACATGACTGAATTCGGCAAATAGCAGCGCCACGCGTTTGAGGCGCGCGGCGCGCTAAAAAGCAGGGGAACGTACGCCGGGGCACGTGCAACGTCTACTTTCCTGCACATCATTTGATCCCGCTCCTCACGTGATCGGATCTCGGCGAATAGCGGCGCGGCGGCACGTGGAAAACAGACGCGCAAAGGAGAATTCTAGGGGGTAATCCTTCAGCCAGCGCCAACAATACGCGCGGTGGCCTCTCCGCGAAACAACAAAAAACCGCAACAGAGAAAAAGAAAGGAGGCAACCGGCGCGCGAAAAAACGTGAGAGAAGCATAAAAAAAAAAAAAAAAAATAACGCAA